TGCTGAAAATTTTGCTGCTATTAACGAAAGTGTTGAGGTGATGTCGCTTTTTATATTTGACTTAACATCTTCATTCTCACAAAATTCACCTAAGACTATAACTGAGGATAGCTTATCGATGGCTGTGCGTAGAACTTATGTTGATTGGGTGCTTGAATCGCTAAATTATAGCAGAGCAATTATCAGCAATGTTATGATGTATTGTGAAGGGTGTTTCTTTTTTTCTGTAGTAAAAAGAAATGCTTCACCTCCTAACACATGTAATATACGGCCTAAAATACTTCCTCTTCTAAGAGATTTATATCCCCGAAACGGCTTTTGCATTACTTCGGAAATGATCTCTTTTAGGTTGGCAAATCAAGAGGATTGCCAACACTGTGGTGAGGAGGTTGAATACTCTATGCACCGTAAAACCAATTGGAGTCAGAATGGAGAAACTAATTGGAGAAATTTAATCCCCCGGATCCGCTTTCACATTATTTCAAGAAGATTCTCTTTTATGTCAGCTATTGTGAAAGTTGTTTGAGTGATATTATTTTAAAGTATGAATCATGGCTTATTGGAGTTGCTGACAGCTAGCACGTTCACTGCTTTGAACGATTGAGATATATTCAGATAAAAGTTTAATCTACATTTCAATCACAAATTTTTATAAGTTTATCTACTTTCGAAAACAGAAAATAGATATTCCTGTAAAGAAGAAGTTAGCAAAAAGTTATCATATTATTTATATGAAATGAATACAAAACAATTTAGAAAATTAATAAGTACATTTCTTTTACTAATTTTAAAACTACTAAAAATATATTTGTTTTATTTACTTTCTGTAATAAATTTGGAATTTTCATGTTTAAATTTCATAAAAGGGTTGTGGATCAACCAACCCTCCATCAATCACTCACCAAAAAGAAACCGTCGCCTTCTTAAATATTAAATTTAATAATTTTATACTCAACCCAAAAATCTTTCTCACTTGCTTTGACGTCAAATAATGTTAAAGTTTTTTTAATATTAAAGTAGAAAGGACCTTTGTTAATAAAATTTTGCATATAAAAAATGATATTAAAAAAGGTCTTACAAAAGCCGAAGAACATAAAAAATTTAATTTTTATGACATTTACCAACACTGCAGTAAACTAATTAAAACATGTCAGCAAATCCAACATTAACATATGAAAGTCATTTGCTAACATATCCACATAAGACTGACAAAATATTTCTACAAATAAAAAATAATATGTATAAAGAAAGTGAAAGAGATAAAGTAATAAAAGTTAACATAAAAAGAAAATGAAATCTGCTTAGGCAGCTGATTTCATCTAATTAAAATGTAAATAAAAGCAAAAATAAAGCAAAAGCAATAAGAAAGCAAATGCTAAACACGTGCTAGTGTTGTGTAAGAGTTTTGCTTTTGTGTAAATATATTACACTCGTTAACACAAATCTGATAAATACTAAACATTAAAAAAAAACATTCGTGTATATATACATATATATATATTTAAATAAGTTTGTATGTTGAAAAAGTGTAAATATAGAAACATGAAAATCATAAAAATCAGCATAAGAATTAACAACAAAAAATGTTAGCAAAAAAATTGAAATATTAAAATAAGTCATTTCAGCAAATTCGTTTTCATATTCATTTACACAATATCACAATATCAATGCAAAACAAGCTATAGAAGAAAAATAATATCAAATTCATTACACCACACCGTGCCATCGTGCCACCAAATGCCAGAAGCTCACGTCTCCTTCTTCATCAACGGCTTCTGCGTCTTCTTCTTCTACTGCTCTCTTGATATATGCCAATCTTAAGCAGTAGCAATGATAAACACAAATACAATCAAACACAAGTAGCAGCAAGTGAAGCAGCAGAGAACGCAGCACTCCAACACAATTCATTTTGCAAATTGCAAATTTAACGTTTATCAGTGCCATCATTGTCAACAACAGGGTTGCCAACAGAGTTCTACTTCTTTTATTTTTGTTCTCATGCCACACATTTCAACTTTTATTTTCATTTGCCTTTTATTTACACTGCCTGCGTAACACTGACAGCAATTTTCGTCGCTCAACAAATGATTGTATGTGTGTTAGTGTATTTTCTTACTTACTGACTACTGACTACTGACTACTGTGTACTTGTTTAGTTTTGTAGGAAGCAAACCAAACAAACAAACAAAAAAACAAAATAAAAATAAAAGAAAAGCAAAAACACAAAAGCGAAAGCGAAAGAAAATAAATAAAAATTTATTTCCAAAAGCACTGCGCTTAAATAAAATTAACGCTATTTTTCATTAGCGCAGCAGCGCTCCACTCTGCACAAGGAAAATTGTTGCCATGGTTTCTCTGTGGTGCCGTCGCAGCTACTACACTTTTTTGCTTGTTGTTGTTATTTTTGTAGCCTGTGTTGCCTGCGTTGCCTGCGTAACAGAAACGTTTGCTTTGTTTATTTAATTTGCTTGAGTGTAAGCAGGTAGTTGACACTCGCTGCTTGCCTATTGTCATTACATCTCTTGTAGTTATCATTATTATTATTATTATTCGTATTAAATCATTTTTTGTTGCTTTTATTGCTTTCAAACAATTTCTTACACAAAGCAAACACAACAACAAATTCTTCGTAACAACTAAGCAAATGACAAGAAAACGATTTTAAACAAAATCAAAATTCTATCACTCATACGCAGTGTTGAAAGCAATTTTGCTTCCCGTTGACATTCAGTGTATGAGTGTATGAGTGTACACTCTTGTATGTATGTAGTTAAATCATTTTTTAAATATTTTTCTATAGAATTTAATTCTTCTTGTTATTTCTCCTCTTCATACCTTCTTTGTACTCACTAAAGTCTGTTGGTTACCAATAATTTCATTTCTTCTGTGTAATAAGTTTAATTTAACGAAATGATTTTCTTACTACTACTCTACTTTAGAGGTATGTCTCTTTGTTAACTGTTGAAAAAACTACCATTCTATATTTCTAGATTTCAAATACCTACAAACAGAAGTGCAAATATATATCTAACTGCCTCGTGTGTGCTAAGCCGATTTCAAATTATCAAACCACAAACAATTTCTTATTTGTCGCTCCGGCAATATCAAGAATGCTTTGAAGAATTAGATTCATCATATTATTGTGGATATTACAAATACCCATAATGGTATTTATTTGAATACCATGAATAAATAAAAAATAAAAGGAGTTTTCTGAACTGATTATGTACTGAAAGTGTTTTCATTTGAACTGAAACATATTTATTATCCAGAGGTGGTATCATTCTAATACCTGTCGTGTACTATTCCTCTCAACTTTATTGTGTTAAAGATTAAACCACATATTAACTCACTGTTTGCCATGCGAGTCTTATCTTATATGAAAACCTTATCAGTGCATATTTCGACATAGATGCTTCACCATTGACCAAATATTCACACTGCGATAAATCCTGCTAAAGATTCGGGAACACAAAAGCAACACCCGACATCTTTTTGTTGATTAAAAAACAATTTCACCTTAAACCGTTATGTATGAGCTCGGTATCCTTGCGAAGTAAATACGACTCTGTAAAGTAGATATGACTCTGCAAAGTAAATACAACTCTGCAAACTAAATACGACTCTGCAAAGTAAGTACGACTCTGCAAAGTAACGTTCTGCACTACCCCTAAGTCCATCAAGGTAGGATTAAGTATTTCTTAACCATTTGACACCATACTTGCGATCCGTTATCGTGTCATCTTTTCAGTTTCGTCATGAAAGTAATCATGCGTGTTATATATGTTCCTTGCCTCTTTATATGTTACTAGCTTAAGTTAAAAGAAACGTTTAAAATTTCGCAATTTCAAAGCTTTAATCATAACTCTTGTCATAGATTAACTGTAGTTTAGAATAAAATTAAAAGTTAAGCTTAAGATTCAATTTAACTTATAAAAATTTATATTTAATTGTAAGTAAAAAAAATGTAAATTAAAAAATTTAATAATATATATATGTATATTAAATAAAAATTAAATATAAAGTTTTTTATTACAATTATATAATATTATAATTATATCACTTGCACAGGCTAGGTGTTAACATAAAAATAGTTGCAAGCCATCATGGGGGCCTGCTTATTCGTCACAGATAGCTTTCTAGTACGTAGCTCTACTTTGATCTTTATTGATTGAGGACACTTCTTGCTGCGCATGGAACGTGTCATTCTTTCCAGCAGATATTCGACGGTGATCTAATGAGAGCTTTGTTGCGGTGCAACCGTGATGTCAAAGAGGATACTGCTTTGATGTGGTGGGCTGTCAGTTTGCTTAATTGCTTAATTTGCATCAAAAAAAAACAACTCACATCAACTACAAACTGATAAGATTAAAACGAATCAAAGCCAATGAATTATTTACCCTTCATATACATATTATGATATAAAATACACTAGTATAATATTTTTATGTTAGCTTATTCTTGCAAAGCCCACATGATAGTTAATTGTCTAAGTAACATGTATCGTGTGTCAAAATAATGAAAATTCCTGAAATAAAAATGATAAAAATATATCTAAAAACTTTATTTATTAAAATTCAATAATCTTTATTAAACACTCACAATCAAGTAACATAAATTAGTTTTTCCAAAAGTAAAGGAAACTCTCACAAATAAATTTTGCTTTAACAATATTTATTTCGTTTTATAATTATAATATATACGATATATATACATATATAAAAATCAAATAAATTGTTTGAAGCTAACAACTTTTAGTAAATCCTCAAAATCAACATACAGAAAGGAGTAGATATCCTATAATTTGCCTGCGCTGCAACAACAACTGCCATTGCAGCAGAAGCAACTTTCCAACATTTAGAGCATTTGCGACATAATTTTTACTTTTTCCTCCTCTAATGCATTTAAATTTGATTCAATTTTGTGCCATTTTTCTCTTTTAATGCAATTTCCTGTGATTTCTACTATAAAACGCTGTATTTTTACCATTTCCGTTGCAGAGTATGCGTATGTCGGGCGAAAGCACTGAGATCCTGCACTTGACGCAGCTGGAAAGAGAAAGCGCGGGCGCTTATGCATGCGGTGCCTCAAATACCGAAGGAGAAACGCGCAGCTCAACTTTAACATTGAAAGTGCAGTGTAAGTATGACAAAATCTTAAAAAAAGTATCTATTTTATATGAAATATTATATGGTATGAAAATATATAACAAAATCGAGTTAGAAACGCAAGAAATCCTGGCGAAAAAATGTTATAAGCCAGTGTGAATTATGACATAAAGTTTAGTCAGCACGACACTGTCTGTCTCTGCTGTGACCAAAGGCAGGGATGACTAACAGTTGCAAGCATATGAGCAGGAAATTGCTTTGAAATGATGAATTGATGTTATGAGTGCTTAAGTGTTATAAATAAGAAGAAGAATAAAATATAAAAGAGCATGAAATGGTAAAAATTAAAAATAAAGAAAATAAATGAAAACTATATTTTTTTTTGTTATTGAATTTGGATATAAAACATTATTGTGCTGCATATACATATGTAACTCCTCTATTGAATTGAGAGCTGTGCCGTATTGCTAGAGGTCATCATGAAAGTTTTACGAAGCTGACTCAATGCTATTCGGTACTAAGTTCCTTGTTAATAAATATCCCAAACGTCTGCGTGTGCTAGCTGAGTTAGTTATTTATTCATACGTTTTGCATACATTGCTTTGCTTTGAATTTAATATGCTTGGTAACTCAATTCAAATCACTTTCAGATTTGGTACCACAAATCCCCAACAGTGCAAATTCCTTGAAGCGTGTATAATATTTGCCCAAAATTTATGCAAAGCAGTCAGTAAACAAAATCACTTCATCGATACAAGGAATGAGAGTATAAAATTTTTGGCAGAAACAGTGATATGCAGATTTGTACCGTTTCTATTGATTTCATTTAAAATTTTTTTCTGTTTATTTTGCTTTTCATATTTGTATGTATCTTTTCGATATTACATTTGTGTACTTATGTGGTTGGAAATCTAAAGATTTGATTCAAAAATATCCATCTCTTTCAAGATTCCTACAAAGACATATCTCAGCAAAATAGGTTTCATAGTAATGATTTGTACTGATTAATGTAATATCCTCAAAATACCTAAAGTACTTTATAAACATTTTTTATTAATGCACAATAAAAGTGTTTTTAAAAATTAAAAAACATCAAGAATTCAAAAAATATTGATACACAAAAAAACAAAAATTTTCCGAAACGAATCTTTTTTGCATCTGAACGAGCATTACATGCATTCCCGCTGCTGTGCCATGCAGTTGCCTGCCACATTTTATCCTTATTTGCAATAAATCAAATGCACGAATTTGAGTTTGTCTTTGCTCTAGTACTGTTACTGTATTGGCTTACGAAAACAAGGATACAAGGACGCAAGGACTCGAAATGGAAAGGCACATGGGTAGTGGTAGTGAGCTTGGCAGGAGCAAAAAAGGCCAGAAGCAAAAATATTTGTTGCTGATTTGTTGCTTTGCTGCAATTCTTTCAAGTTTATGAATATTTCAGTTTGAGAAAAAACCAAAATTTATTCAAATCACTTGTTCGGATGCAAGTAAGCAGCATTCACAAAATTGGAAAGAAAGTTTTTGGAAAAAATTCAACTGTTTTTTCCACTTTGAATCCTTTATGCAGTTGAAAATTGTTTATGGCTTACTCTATGAGTTGGCTTTCAATTGCACTTTGTTGCATTTGACTCAATTTGGAACAACCTCCAGTAGAGCAGCAAATTTTGACAAAGAAAAATTTATTAATAAGATAAGTACTTTACTAAAATCATACTTTTAGTTAAGAATAAAAAAAAATTTTTTTTAAATTGCTAAGATACATTTTAATCTACTATACATACGAATACAATATATTACAAACAATATGGCAAAAAAAAATATTTTTATTATTACAATTACATATAATTATAACATTCCAGACGGAAATGTTAGGTAAATAATCTAACATTTTGAACTATATAATTAGACTTCATATAAAATTTAGTAATTTAGCAGAGTCTAAAGTTAATTGTTCCAGGGTTTGTATGAAGTTGTCGAAGTAGTACAATCATTGCTTCTCAAGCTCAGAGCATTCATAAAGAACGTAGTTCGAACTTTCGATGTTCATTTCTTAAAATCGTCAAACGTAAAAATCAAAAATAATCGGGCCTTGCATTAGATCGCTTCGAAATAATAAGATAAAGTCCTTAAATGTACCTTACTTAACGAAATTAGCTTATTTATTTTATCCGTTTAAAAAACTGAAACCTTTTTTGATTACTGTTGGCTGACACCATTAAGCTAGTGATCTATAAATGTTTTGATCTGCTAGTTCCTAATGCCTTCATTTACGTTCCTTTTTGTAAGATCATAAAAGAGTTAAGAGTGTTATAAGAGCATGTTTACACCTCGTTCAGATTTAATTACGCGTCTTAGTTTTTTATGTTTTAGTGTTTTATGCACTAAGACGTATCAAAATACTAGAGTCCTGAAGTTCCTAATATATTAAGTATGATTTAGGCAAAGAACTATTATTTTATGAATAATCCATATAAAAAACTATATGGATTGAAGATCTTTTATTCTTTTGAATATATGTAGCATTTATGTACTTACATATCAGAAGTTTGTTTGGCTGTAATGTGGGTTGACTATATGATAGTATCTAGCTATCATTAGATTTCTTTCATTTAGATATAAAAAAAAATACTCTCCAACATTTTCAAATGCCGTTCACTTATTTTTGCTTGTAAAAGTTTTTCGTTTAATATTTATTTTTTTGAATCAGGCACCATAAATTGCCGTCCTTATTTAAATAATTATTAAAAGTCTTTTGTGTAAGTATTAGTGAAAACTTACTGAGGTTAGGTTATTATGGTGATTCTCATTACTATTGGTAATGGTACTAATGGTCATTACTATTATGGATACACTCATTACTATTGGTCGTAGCTACATTGGAGTATTTGAAACCATTTCGAACCTCTTATAAAACCTAAATTGCTCTACAAGGTGAGGCTTTATTAATAACTAAGATAATCGGAAACCAATAAACCAGTAAAAGTAATGTATAAAATTATTTTATACAAGTAGAATGGTTATAAGATACTTAATTTATGAAGTCTATTTCATTGATCAATAATATTTTCCCATGATAATTTATTGCGGCATAGTCGCCTAAATTGGTACTAATTTGCAATGAAATAATAACCATAATTAAGGGTTTGTTGCGGTGTATGTGCCTAAATACACACTAATTTACAATGAGATTATAAACATAATGAAATATTTATTGCAACGTAAATGCTTAAATAAATAGTATAAACAAAATAGTATAAGATAATTCAATATATTTCTGAGTGAACATCTTAATTACTCTGAGGTAAGGTAGTAGGTACATGTACGTACACAAGCACCAAATTTCTGTTTTTGCTGATATAGTACATTTTTTTATGTATTTATAAGTACCTTTCATAACTGATACCAAAAATTTCAGCCCTCTTAAAGTACGTAAACATTATCGAAAATAAAATATTTAAAAATTATTTAATATACAAAAAAGTTAACTCCATTCAGTACCATCATCTAAAAGTTTTTAATATATTGAAGTATAAACAACCTAATTATTTTAATATAAAAATCAATTAAAGTAAGAGAAAATTTTGAAATTTCAACTCACAACCTTCACAAAGGATGTGATTGATAGTAAGTCCGTGACAACTGCATAGAAAAAATTCAACGAAGTAAACTTAATATTGCACATATTCCTTTAAAGGATAACTTGTTGCATTTGAAATGCCTTTCACTTACTCGTTAAGAGTTGCGCCTGCAATGTACAAAACCAAGTCAGCCCATTCGCAACTACCTTGAAAACTATTAAAACGAAATACAAACTTCGCAAAGACTCCTTAAGCCAAAGGAACTTTAGCAATGCAAGGAGCAAAAAAATCTACTGAAAATTCTTAACAAAAATAAAAGTGCACAACGGTAGATGTCATAAGGACTAAAGCAACTGTGCCAACACTACACCATGAGTGGGTGGATGGATGGCGCCAGTGCTTAGCACAATTACATGGGAAAGTATTTGGATTTTTAGAACCCTTGAGGTGAAATGTGCCATCAAAAGTAAAAGAGTTTTTTCTTAGACTTTTAAATAAAAAATTTAAGTAACAAATTTTATATTCAAGTGCACAAGATATCGTAGGAGCTCACCTCTACATGGACTTCTCATGGAACTTTTCCTAAGCATTTTATTTGATTTGGCCAAATTACAAATTTTATGATATAGAAAAGTGAAATGATTTCACTTTCATACAAAAGTTTGCTTAAAAATATTTACTAATTTTAAAGTTACAGTTTGATTGTTATTAATTTTGAAAGAAATTATCCTTGGCTTCGTTACAAGAAATCACATCGTAAAGGACGTTTTCTGTTTTATTAGTCTAATATCTAAAATTTTCCTTTTGTGTTGGGATGCTGTTTGTTGAAGTGAAATAATTGCTGAAGGCACTACAAATTGTAAAGAAAATTTTTATTGATTGTTAATTTTCGAATCACTGAAAGAAATCAAAATAAAGGAATTGAAGAAATTTGCAAAGGATAAATCGGAAATCGAAGAGAATGGTACAGCATACAGGAAGCAAAAATAAAAGTCAATTCCGTTTTCTTTTGCTTGTTTGAGTTTTCCTTTTCTGTTATGGCGACAAAAATAATAGAAAATTATATCTTTTCATATAAAAACAAAGCTATTGCAATAAAAAAATATCTTCAATAAGAATAATACTATTATTGAAGGACTAAAAAGCGCTGATAAACAAACAAGAAACAATAAATCCAACGGCGATAACTGCAATGATAATTATTGGCAACACCAATAGGAAAATAAAGTGAGGGAGGAATGAGTTATTGTTTAGTGACGACAGTTTACAGTCCTCGCCAGAACTATTGTCTTTCTTTAGTTAAGTCTTTATAAAGAAGAAGTAGTTTAAATAAAGCACAAAGATATTGCTTATATATTTATCTATTCTAACTATTACTTATGTAGTGAAAATAATAGATATGCGAAAAGTGATGGGTGTGATGAATTATTAAAGTTGTGCTACGTAGACAGTCTCCAAAGAGCGTTGATGCTTCCTTAAGATCTCTTTTGTGCTGAAGATTCTTGAATGAATAATGAATAAAGGGATAAAGAATGAAAGGATGAAAAGTACCTAAAACTAATAGTTTGCTTAAATGAGTGATAGTGAGACTATCATACATTCCATAATTTAATATGATATATAGAGACTGTTTTAATATAATTATCATTATGTCAATTGATATAAATGATGAGAAGTCATGACACTCCTTAAATGAATATGAGAATAATTAAAAAAGCAAACCATATATAAACAAAGGAACTACCCACACATATATTCAAAAATATATAAAGACTAATTATAAGAAAGACAAAGAACTACCCACACATATATTCAAAAAGATATATAAACTCATCATACTAATAACATATAAACACTGGAGTAGTGCTGATATAGTATGGACATTATTTCCGTATATCAAATAACAAAAATTATTGCACTTTGTATTTGTTTTATTGTTTTTTCCTTGATATCCTGTTTCCGTTGGGCGCTCCTGTCTGTTTGTGCCAAAAATTGTCCTTTTTTTTATAATTTTCATATTATTCATTTTTTTTATTTTATTTTACAATCGTTGTCTTATATGTTTTATATTAGTTTGTTTACTTTTATTTGTGTCGTTACGGCAGGATTTTCATTAATAATTCATGAAATTTTTACGATATCAAGCGGAAGCGCCACCAAAGCCGCACGAATGAGTTTTTATGCTGATTTCCTTCAAGGAATTCTCTATTCAAATAAACAAGCCGTTTTTATGAGAGAGTCACTTTGAATCCGCAGTGAAATATCCTCGTGGTATTCAAAATATTGTGTCGTTGCCGTTTTTTTGTCCCTTAAAAGTCTATGTGTGAAAATCCTTCGGTACGTCTTTGGTCAAAGGATGTAGAGTAAAAATATTTGTGTATTTAGATGAAATGAAATTATTGTTATGAGCGACGTGTTTTAGCACAAAAGTCACTCGTGTGTAATATTTTACGTTATACGTTATACGGTGCCGTTTTTACTCCGGGATCACGGTTTTTGCTTTATTTTTAATATGAAAACATTTTGCTATGAAAAGTGAAAGCGTGTACTTTAAATTTATTAAAAAGTTTACAAAATATAATCTCAAATCCCAGAGAGATTTTGGTTGGAGTTCGGTGGATTAATTTAAATAAATATGAGCCATTGATGTTTGGTTTGCACGCATTTAGATTATCTACCATAAGTTTTGCACACCTTCGGATGGTTATAGCATATATACCTGAGGAAGCAAATATGGTATTTACTAAAAAGTGAAAGAAAAAATCTTTAAATTGACATATTGAATATTAGGTACAAAGTTTTTAAATGAAACTAAAACCTACACTTTGTTGGTGAAGAGCATGTAGCTTAAACTTAACATTAAACGAATGCAAATATTGGTCTTATTATCAGAGACCACCCATACTCTTTGAATATAGTTTTTGAATATCGATATAGTTCAATAGCAAACTGCGCTCAAATTATATTATATCAAATTTTCTACTCCTTATTAATAACACTAAACCAGTGGTTTTGGGAATAGTAGACCATATACCATTTAGCTTTAGTGAGCTATCATTGCTATACATTATTTAATTGCTGTACATTGCAGCTTTTATTCGTTCTTCAGTCTTGGAGTCATACATAGAGAACTTAAATATATAGTGCCTTGCTAGCAGATCTTTGCGAAACTCCTAAGTTCCTTCAGTTACTTGGAACTCCTTTTCGAACGATTGTTATTATATGAACATAAGGTGATTATAATAAAATATGTGTTAGTTTTTAAATAAGTAAGACACATTAAGTTAGTTAGTTAGTTTCGTTGTAAAAGATTTACAAAAAATGATTCGATGATCCGATTTACAAAAGTTCAGCATATAATTGGGTTGAGACATATACTACCGCGCTTATAAAAAAAAGTATTATTACTGTAAAGCAAAATAAGAACAAAGAAAAAACTCCAGAAAATTTATACTGATTTTGTTTCAAAGTGCACTAGAGAGCTATATATTCGAAATTTGTGAATGAATAGTAGAAGTTTAAGATGCTTAAGAACGAAACGGGAAAAAAACGGGGATATCATAAAAAGCTTTAGTCTATCCAGAGCTATAATTTGAAACAATTGAAACTTATTAAGCTTTGTTTACTTATTTTAATGCATCATGTGTATCATTTACATTTTAATGCTAATTTACTAATTCTATTATTAGGGCTATGTAGATTAGCTATTTTCTTGAAATTATTTCAATGACTGTACAAATTATTACACTAGAACACTTTGACGCTAAAACACTTCAATATCCTATCAACTTATCTGGTTATCAGTTATGTGGTATTAGATAGATAAGCTTATACTTTAATTCACCATCACAACTCCCCTAGATTATAGCACGGCAATGAACTAAACTAGGCTTGACCAGCTAAAACTCCTATAAATCGTATTTGCGAGGGCTCGTGGAGGAGACACCAAAACATCTGTTGTGCATGTGTACAAGCTTATAGAGATCTAAGTTTAAACTTTTGGTTTCCTATTTCTCAACTTACTCAGTGATATTTATAGTATTTCATTCTGATAAACTTAAATGTATTATACTTACATAGGTGAGTTGGAATGTATTAAAAACGACTTATATATTTGAAAAGATTTTACATACTTTTATTGACTCAGCGATATTCCCAATATTTGAATTTACCACATATGTTAGGTCATACTTTATATATCCTGTTCTAATATGACCAACCTTATAGGCATAAATACGAGGTAGATATCTGAAACCGATTTTCTTAACTGATTGAGAAGAGTTTGATCTTGCTTCCATTTCGCTAAATATCTACCTACCCTGTGAGTTGGGTTATATATAAAAACTACTTATATATATTTGTGAGGTGTATAATATATGTGTTTTTATAAATGCAATTCAGTAAGATGTGCATCGATTACTTTAAAGCTGTCTTTATATAAAAATATGAGTTCCACTTTTAGTATTTTAATTAAAGAATTTACAATGAACTGTTAAAAAAAAAGGTTTTGGCTTCATTGAAGATTTGTAAATTTTTTTTTGGAGAATATCTTAAATTTCCGCATATTTTAATATCAAATACCAATTTTGTTTTTTTTTTGTGTATTAAAGTAAAAAATACTCCGCATATTTGTTGTGAATACCACAAGCAGGACATCCGATGACAAACTGCTGCATTTTGTCAGCTATGCAAATGAAAAATGTTGCCCGGCTTACCATGCATCAGCATAGAAATTTCATGCTAAAGTGAACCATGTTAATTGCTTTGCTCAGGGCTATGTGTATTATGAGAGTATATGGACCGGAGTGTCCAAACACACGCATACACATGCACATATCAAATTTAAATACAAATTTAAAGCTCTAAACATAGTAAAACGTAGTAAAAAGGATACAGATATGCTCTTATGGCATATCTGCGTTTATCAGTGAAAGTTTTGCATATTTTAAACTTAAATTTATCTTTTCACTTTTGCAGACTCGCCACGTTGCAAGCCTGGCACTGAGCAAACCTCAATTGGAGCACTAAATTTGCACTCAATACAGGCAAAATGTGAAGTTGATGCCGATCCCCCAGACTCAGTTAAGTTCAGTTGGACGTACAATAACACGAGAAATGTATCACCGGTAAGTAAAATATAATCACATTTAGTGAAATGTCATGTTGAGCAGAAATGTTACACATAAGTGCTATTATCTAGAATTCATCACAATTTATTTGGAGTTTTCTTCCATAATGTAATATTTGAAATTGGATTTATTATATGAGAACTCATTAGTAATCATAGCAAATATAAATGTTATCCATAGAGATTTGTAAATATTCATAATAATACTTTGAATTTAGTGTCTTGCTTCTTGTGCTACTTCTAAAATTAATTTACAACGGTGCTTTCCTCAACATTTCAAGTCCTTCAAGCGCACAATAGCATCTATCAATTTTCATTAAAATCCACACAATCGATTTGTTAAAATATCGGAAGGCTTTTCCTTTATTGTCATAATAATTCTTAAAAGTTTACTTACTTACTTACTTACTTACTTTCTATGGATGGCAAGTAATTACAGTAACCAGAACCTTGCAGTACAGAAACAAGGACATGAATTCCTCGAGGACGTAATTATTACATTTCTTACGTTTTAACTAAAAGCGTATTTAATACACTGTTTCCTCTTGGTGAATGTACAGCATGACAAATGAAAGTAAAATGAGATTCCAATTCTTCTCTCCTCTACGTACTTTTAATTTCATTTCGAAATTTTCTGTCTACAATTTCGTATCCTCAAGGACATTTTTAACAATAATTTAAGTAAAAGCTTTTATTCGGTAAAGCAAAATACAAATAACTATACGGTATATTAATAGAGCAAAGGAAAAAGAATCAAATTAAAAAGGACAATAAAAGGAGGAACTCACAGGAGACTGTTACAATACAGCCAAACTGTACGTGACTAAATGAAACTTTAATCGAATTGCATAAATTATTTATTTTCGATTGAAAACGCTCGATGTTAAACTGAAAATCCCACGTGTGTGTGGCATGGAGACAATCTCGTTGCTTGTTGCTACTTGTTTTGTGTAAAATTAGGAAAAAATCCAAAAAAACACAAACGACATTTGAAAAAAATAGATAAAATTGAAATACAATTGTTAAATTTGTTGCAATATAGTGTGCGGTACCTTGTATCCTTGTATCCTTGTTTGCTGTTGTTTGCTGGGAACTCGTACATTGTCGCAACCAAAAAAAACACATTTTTGTTGCTGTTATTGCGATAGACATATAGCACTAAGTTGCTATATCGCAGCACTACGGTTGCCTCGTTGTTTGCTTGCTACAAGCACTGACATTTTAAGTTCCAAATGGAAAATCTATTATGTATACAGTTTAAAAGTGTTACGGAATAAATGAAAAACACATTTTGTGTGTACTTAAAGAAAATTTGACTAAAATGCTATAATTTTCATTGCATTATTTAAAAGTCCATTTCTGTTATGCCAAGGCAAACGGATTTAGATTTTATGTGCTAAAGCACATAAAATCAAAATCTAAACAAAGATAAAATAAAAATAAAAATAAATTTATTCAGATAAAACATTTTGCACAGATTTTGATGGGCTGTTTTAAATTTTTTATTGAATTGTTATATTAAAAATTCTAACTTAAAATATATCTCTTATCTATAGCAAAATATCATAGTGGTACTAATAGCAAAAAGGCCAACATAACTCTTTTATGAACACCGATTTTTTATTTCAATAGTTTATTTTTTTATATTTCATTTAGAGGTTTTTTTCGAAAAGTAGTGAACTGCAATAACAAAAAATTTTTTTTATATTATTTTAATTAATTGAATTTTTGGCTGACCATACAACCGTTTCGAGTATTACCAAATATACAGCAGTGGTCTTGGAAATAATTCTTATATTTAATTATTTGTAAATAATTTTTTGAGACTGCAAGTACCCAGAATCGAACTCGTGCCTTGCCAAATTTAAAGCTCAGAGTCAGTGTTCATTAGTGAACTGGGCCGTATTTGACTTTTATATTCGTAATTTTTTCTGGAGTTCTGTTAATTCGCTGTAAAAGTTTTTTTAACAAACTCACTTGCTGCATATATATAAGAACGAAATCATAAACTAGCTGTAGAATAATAGAATTAATTATATTTTTATTTTTAATTATAAATTTTAATACTGTTTTATACTACTACATTTATTTAAAATTATTTGTTAGTTATATTGTTACTATGTTAGTTGATGTCTATCACTGTCGTACTTATTGTTAGCTTATTATTATTTTATATTGATTTTATAAAACACGAGAAAAGTATAAAAAATGTGAACCAAAATTTTTTCCGTACCAGTCAGACCACCTGCCACAATAATTTATAATTCTTAGAGAATAATGATTTGAGTTCTGCTACAGCGGCCCCACATCTAGATAAGTTAAACCATATGCTAGTAAACATATATGAAGTTTGTTAGATATTGTTAGATTCAACATTTCTTCATTAAGTCATTATATAAATTTATATATTAATTCTAATTTAGTTCTTTTGTCTGAATTTTTTTATTATAATTGTGATTCTTAAAAAATGTTATTTACATGTAATTTAAACTAATTTAAATAAATTCGAATTTAACAATATATATACATTCTAGGTTCTCAACTCAAGAATACAATCAATTGGACTTGTAAGCACAATGACGTACTTGCCACAAACAGACTCGGAATTAATCACACTTGCATGTTGGGCTAGCAATGCTGTGGGACGACAAGTCATACCCTGTCTAGTACATATTTTACCAGCAAGTAAGTGTTATCCTCCTTATATTTATATATCACTTAGAAAAATATTTTTTTTAAAAGACTTACCATATAGTGGGAATATTTTAACTATCTCAGTATCTTAGTCTTATAAGTGGAACCAGGGATTTTCAGATGATATGTGGTGCTTAATAAAATGTTGTGTAACTTTGTTCTGATGTTTGTTGGAATTTGCAATTAAAAGAGAAATGTTTTTTGCTAAACTTCAAAAATCCCTTCGCAGAACCTTTGCATTATGTCAAGAATATTAAAAAAGCCTTAGCCTGGTCAATATATCTTCAGGAACATAGAATGTAGAGAGAGCACAAGAATTTTCTAAAAGTAAAGTGTAGTAGGAACATATCGATTCATTTTATGAACTAGTCCAGTCTCTTTAAATAGAAATCTGTACTATCACCTGATATTAAAAATAAAATTAAAAATTAGTATATTGTAATCCCACCTGCTTAATGCAAGATTCGACTGTGTTTAGTAGATAACCAAATAGAAAATAACGTTGGGCTATGAAAAATATAAACATAGCCAAGTTATTATTATCAATAACTAAATTCCTATTATGCAGAGTATGAATCAAATTGATAAAATATATGCTAATGGATCATTAGCCAGACAACATGACGAAAAATTAATTATCCTAATTAATCAGACGAACAAATAATGAAATTGAAGAACTACTAAAAAACGAGAATAGGTATAGTGAGATATATTAAGTCGCAAAGGTTACAATGGGCTGCTCATGTAATAATAATTGGACCGGAGTGAAAGCCGAGCAGCATATACAACGCAAAGCCGATGACAACCAGGCACAGAAGTAAGCCAAGAATAAGACGAAATGAGAATGTGTATGGTGATGCAAGAGGGATTGAAGTACTGAACTGGAAGAGCGTAGCAGAAGATCGGAACATATGGAGGTAGATCGTGAGGAAGCCCAAGGTTCACACTGGACTGTAGTGCCAAATAAAATAAATGTTGGAATAAAAAAATAATTGAACACTTTATAAATAACTAAAGCAGACTAGATTGGAACATTCTATTATGGAAGTCAACAAAGTAATGAATCTGGCAAGTATGACATGTATAGATCTTCCTAAAATAATCTCTGCTTTAAGTGGTTTCAAAACTTCGAATCTTTAACTTGGGTGTATGATAACAAACTAGCATCTAAATGCCGCTTAACAAGGAAAGTATGTTACCACAAGGACCACCCCATCATACAGTGTGTAAATAAATAAATCTTATAAAAAAATATTAAAGCATAACTGCAAACTATTAAATACCAAAAATTCAATTCAAAAGTAATCGAACTCACGTTTCGAGCAGAAGTATCTCAAACACAGCAAAACATATTTACATATGCATATTGTGCATTCGTGAAGATCGTCATTTTATCTCAGAATTACAATCGAAATAGAAAATATTTTGCAAACTCAATTTCGTGTAAAAATATAAACTGAAAATTCTATCTGCAGACTGCGGATTCATTCTTGAAACTATCTCTTGTGAAAGTATCTCAGCAATTCAAGTGCAAATGCGACTCAGCAATAAGTGCATGTGTTATTGTCTAGTTACCGTTGTTATTGTTGTTTCTATAGTTGTCGTTATAGTTGTTGTTGTTATATAAAACTAAATTATAGATAGTTTTACTTTTCCTGTTACTTTTGAAATTATTTTCCTTTTTTATTTGCCAGCAATTTTTAAGTATTTATTTTGTATCAATTGCAATTTTGCAATTTTATCTACTCGCACTGTGCAGAGCACAGTGACATTGCTCGTAGCTGCAATTGTTGCCACAATTGTTGTTGCAAATGTAACTGTTGCAATTTCAGTTGTTAACATCGCACAGCTCCATGGTTGACGTCGTTGTTATTATTGGCGGATATATTGATATTACCAACCCAAATTGCTTTTTTAGTTATGCTGCAGAAATGCAATTGTGGCAAGTTGATAAGTTTTTAGTTAGGAAAAAAAGTATATTACTCTGTATTACAGAAAAATTTATTTTTGTAGTATTTTTTTGCTGTTGTTTGTTATAGTTACTCTTTGCCAATAGAATTTTGTAGAAGTTTAAAGTACTCGAATTGTTTCATAGCGACTCCGGTGTATATTCACACACGCAAACACCGATTGGGCCATATGAGGCGTTACCAATTGTCATTCCACGCTTGGAATTGCGTTTGAATCAGATTTTTGTGGTAGCAATACCACATCCAATACGCAACCAGACACTCGCATGCAACTGCCAGTTCAATCAACCACAGACTCGTTTGTGCATAGATTTTGATAGCAATTGTCAACCATTTAACATTTTACACAGTAGAACTTGATTATCTCCGTGAATTTGCGGTTTTAATGCTGAACTTATTTTTGAACTATCCACTAAACTATACTTTTTTCTAAACGCACAATTGAATTTGGTGTTTTTTTTTGGATGCAGTTGACGGAGATGACTATTAAAAATACTTCAAATATTTGAATTCATGGATACTTCTCTCTTATAGACGGAGTTTCATTATGACACGATTGAATATTGAAAATAATATTTGATTTACACAATACGCTTAAGTACTTAATAAAAAGCAACGATCTATATAAGCATATCACTGTTCACATATCGCAAGCACCTCTGCCACTAGTCCTTCTATGTTTTAAACAATTGCTGTAAAAGCGTTGATACATACATTGCATAAATACATCGACGCGTCAGATATGCAAGGTAGATGTTTTGCTCTTCATAATGCTTGGACTGAGTTCAAAACCAGAAACTTTTCCACAATTTGTAGCAGCAATGTCTCTAGTTTCTTGTACAGTAATAGGTTACTCTGATACTGGTTATATATCGAAAATACAATTAAATTAAATATAGAAATATAGAACTTTCTATAAATCATTATAAACAACCTTTTACAATAGATCAACTAAACATTTCATTTCTATAATTTATAGATCCACCCGAGGCACCCAAGGCCTGTGAAATACGTAACGACACAGTTCTAGAAGTAGTGTGCATAGCAGGCAGCGATGGTGGACTATCACAATATTTTCTACTCGAAGTTATTGGCGGAGATCCATTGTATAGCAGCGACTCAACGCGTAACTTTGCCGACAATGTGCTTGGCGATAACGAAATTTCTACTTTGAATGATCAGGTAAGTAAGATAAACTTATTGATTACAAAAAAGTAAGAAAAAAAATAATAAAATAACCCAAATCAAAACGATTTGAATATTTTTTTGACACATAATGTACACAAAGTTTGTTGCTTCTTATTCGCTTCTTCATAATGTCCTTCCTAGAAGCTCATAAATATTTCAAAGTGTTTTCGGCATAAGTTTTATGCTTTTAAGCTTATTTTAAAATTTGCCACACTTGAGAGCATTTCCAGGCCCGTACACATATGAATTGTATACGATTTTGTAACTGAACTAGTCAATTATTGTTTGCTCAGTCATTTGACTTTTCTGCCTCAATTATTGATATGCTCGATATCTACAAATGACAGTAGTGGGAACTTTGAAGTAAATTGCTTTTAGGTCATAAAAAGAGCAACTTAATTGCTGTTATAAGTTTCGACATATGTTGTCGACACAGAACATATATTTTAACCCTTTTTATTGCCAACTTCCATTCCGAGTTACGTACGCTTCTGAGTTGAAATCGCTTTTCAGCATAACAAGTTCACTTAATAAATAAAATATTTTTGTTAGCCAACAATTTAACAAAATGTCATATAAAATTTTCAAAATAATTTTAAAATATTTTTCACAGTGTATTAGTTTCATAGTTTAACTTTCGCATGAGCTGACACAACGCACTCATCGGCAATCCTGTCCGAGTGCAGAATGGACAATGAACACTGAACACTGAACAATGCTAAACAACAGAACAACACAAGTAAACACACACGAATATCCTAAAAAAAGGACAATAACATAAATCGCCGAAAGGATATAAATTATTTCTGCTTACTTGAGTAGGAATTTGTGCGTAGCAAATAAAATATCTTTCAAAGTATGCTTGTGTGCTCCGTTGCATGTTGAACTATAAGGATATGCAAGGCTTAAAAGTAATATGTATGCTTAAAGTTTGTTGTCTTTTGATTATATGACCATTTATACAAAATCTCTCGAAACAATAATAAACAAGAAGCACCAACAAAAAATATGAAAATGGCAAAAGGAAGACAATAATTGGTAGCAGCATGAAGCAAAGTTTTTAATAGAATTTTCAGGCATGAATAATTATTAGCATAACTTACTCGAATTGAATTCGGTACAGCATACGTACAGAGACAGACAGTCCACACATCCACTTATAGAAAATGTGAAGAAGTCATAATAGATGATTTCATTTTTAATAGAATTTATAATAGCAAAAATAAAGAAAAACGAAATAAGAAAAACGAATACCTATAATTTAATAGATTTTCTTTTGTCATCTTTAAATGCTTGAATGCACTTTCTCGGCTAATAAAGTTCTAGATTCATACCTAGCATTTGCCTTCTTCAAATTGCTTATTTAAAATTACATTTTTTCCTCTTGCATATTTTTAGGCAACCTCAGCACCAATATTTCGCATGCAAGAACCAAATCCGCAATTTCGTTTAAATAATCTTGAACCGGGACGAGAGTATCAATTTTTAGTTTATGCTGTCAATGCAAAAGGACGCAGTGATCCGCCTGTGGTTATAGAACGTGTACGTGTAGCCGCACAATTGGGTCCGTACGGTAAGTCAGAAAAGTTACTAAAATTGCTTTAAGGATACAATAGCAAAACTGGCACATGATGGACAAACTTAATTGTATGCAATTTGTGCAGTGAATTAATATCATATTAGAATATTAAAGAAAATGTAGTTTTACTAACAGTATTTATAAGTTATATATAAAAGCAATAAAAGTTTAATTTTAACTATACTCTTTATAATGAAACTATTTTCAAGCATTTCTGTAAAGCAAATCACTATCCAGTATATTAAAGTCAACTTATTGATTATAATAAGAGAAGGACAAACATATGTGTATACTATTCTTTGGTGATTAACCTTATAATATTATCAGTCAAGTTTTTTAAAACAGTTTTACAAATGATTTATTTTAAATAAATATTTAAAAGTTTTATACAAAAGTTTTCTGTAGAAGCGTTTTTGTGTAGCATCGTTTTCGGTGCTATTAGCTGGCACTTTTTTGATATAAAATTTTAATTTTTTTTGAGTTGAGTACCACCAGCTGATGCTTTGGTTATATTTTATTTTTTTCTTCCAACTTCTTCTTCTTCAGCTTTATTTTTGAATGCTGCTAGCTCACACTTTGACCTATTTATATTTTCTATTTGTGCCTTTTTTTATAATGCTACTAACTGACACTTTGGCTGTTTTCTATTCACTCATTGTATCAAGTCTTATAAGTTTGTACTTTGACTGCTCGCTACTATAATGTGTGACTACTTATATTTATCTAGTTTAGCAGTATTTTCATTTGTGAGTTCTCTAAGAAAGTCGTGAAATAATGAAATAATCGTGAAAAGTTTGACAGTTCCAAACTGAGACCTCCTCTTCTCATTGCCATACTCAAGTAACAAGGAGGCAAAATATAGTAACCACTACTTCTGATATTACTCTATATGCTGACCTTACTATACCATGGCTTAATATTAAGCCTATGTGCTATCTGCTAAGAAACAATCGCTAAAATGCAGAAGTCACTCTATATCTATTCCTAAACAAAAATAGAAAAAGTAATGGACGAAATACTTTAGTGATTAATAAAGTGGACTTCCGCTTCTCGTCGGAATATAGTATTTTTATGAAATCATTGCAATATTGCAGCGTCCTGGTTGCACTATAGTAAACACGTAATCCCGAATAAAAATATAGAAAATGATTAATGGAATACCACACCGTTAAAGTATCGGCATTATAACACAGTAATCCGTTACGAATTCTGTAGGTATATAACTAATTTAAAGGATAGTTTTTTCTAATTTGTTTTTTAATTTCTGAAGTGTTTTTATTCATTAAATTTTATAATACTTAAACCTCTGGTATTTCGATTTTATGATTATCCATTCACTACTTCGTTCAATCTAACTTCTAAATATTCCTAACCACATAGAAACTTTAAAATTATTTCTCAATGCCTTTATCTATTTTTATGCACAACTATATACTTATTTTTACCAGAAAATAAACTAAATAAATTATTTAAAGGAATTACAAGGTTCATTCTATGCTTCAACACATTTTCAAATCAACGCAAGTTTAACTAAATCTGCGCAATCAGATGCTGCTAATACACACAAGTCAGCATAGACGAGCACAATCGTTCACACGTACAGATTTTTCTTCTTGAAATTTTTATATCTTTCTAAAACCAGCCAAGCTACTCCTGCGTTTCGCCCTGTCTAGCTAGTATTCATACGTGTTTTCACCCACACATCCCATTTCTAATCCAGTGACTGAGTTATTCACTGAAGCGTTAATAACATTTTTCATCAATTTCGTTGGAAAATAGCAAAAACAGCAATGAAAGAATAACCACACTAAACTAAAGGCTAAAATAAATTTCTTTTCTTAACGTGGATTTTCTTGAAAGTACATTTATGTAGCACATACATGCTACATATGTACATCAATAATATGTGCGTTTTGTAGTATATGCGTGTATGCATTAAGTGCCCTACGCAACATCTATTAGAATTCAATTGCTCAATATCATTAGTAACTGGTATTGATATATTGACGATTTTATATATATTGAATTGAAAGAGGTACATAAAGTTTTATTTTTATATAATTTGATAAAGAGAATTCAATGGAAATAGAGATTCTATAGCAAAATTTATTCAATTAGTGTTTCAACACCTCGTAACGTTATTTGAAAACAAAACATAAGTAACATTGGGCGACAAATTTACTTGCAGATATAACACAAATCTTAGTATCTTTTCTTTTCTATATTTTGGTTCTTTTTGTGGAAAACTTCATCAAAAAAAATTAATTCGGTACACACTCTTGAAGAAATATCAAAATGTTTTTTTGATTTTTTCTACCTTAATTATTCAATTGCTTTTCTCAGAAAATATGAGAATGTGACACGGGATATATAATATTTGAACTTAGTTTGGATCTATCAACTCTTCATGCGAACTTTCTTTACAACACTAGTAACACATACTCTACATATTTATTTTGTTCTTCCTTCTAATCCAAATACTTATCTTTGAGACTTCTCATTTGTATTCAATTTGGATTAGCAAATGACTCGCACTTTTTGGCATAGTCTTCGAATATCTTCCCATTATCAAAGGCAATTATTATCCTAACCTATTAAAACAATTATCTTCTGCTCTGCTTAGAAAAATTCACGTAACACAGGGAGGATTTGCCGATATCCATTCTGCCATACTCTATATAAAAAACAGGCGTTGTACATTAAAATGTGAATTACCAGGTTTTCCCAAAGTCACAAAAATGAGGCATATCCTGAGAAAGAAGTTAAGATGCTAACTGTGATCAATTCCATTTAATCACAATTCACCTGAAGTCACTCAATTTATATAATGCGATTTTTTTCCATGTATAACTTTAAGCTCTTAATAAAACGAGTTCCTTTTGATTTACTATTAAAAATGAATACCCGATACAACAACTAAGTCATATTAGGATAGTCGGTCTATATTATTAACAAATGTTCCAGATTATTTTATGAGTTATTCACATTTAAGCAGCCAACTCTCCAAAGCCTAGTACTAATATTTATTTTGAAGGAATTATTGATATAAATTTTCTTTTCGAAAGAATATTCTACAATGCTAAAATCTGAGACATTTAGAAAAAGCAACTTATGTGTGAGTTTGATGGGAAAAAAGCCAGTAATAACTGCAATCAGTCAATATTTCTAGCTATCAGCAGGAAATAAGTTGTTTGTTAGTCATAATTTCATCTTTGTCTTACATACCGCAGCACAAACCACCTTTAAAAATACTTAGTGTTCAGTGTTCTTTTAGGCACATTCAGTGGTGTGTGCACCGGTTCTGCCAAACTATTTCATTTAACAAATCTTTTTAGCAGCAGTTTCTGTTTTGAACTTCTCTCCAAGAATCCGGTAATAGTGTTCTTGTGCCGTTTCTCAAAGTCGTTGTTTCTGATTTTGTCGACTATCTATAACGTTAAGGCTCTGTTAATCGATAAGTACCATAACGACTTCAATCAAAGTGAAATACACAACCAACCACAACTGTGTATTTGATAGGAACGAAATAAACAATAGCGGAAGACTTTGCTTATTTCGTTATAATCAAATGGCTTAAGTTGGCTTAAGTTCTTATCATACGTACCGGCTAACTTAGCCTTTATGATGCCTGATATTAGAACCTGATATTAGAACCTGATATTAGAACCTGTTTTTAGAGCCTGATATTAGACTCCTATATTTGAACCTCAATTGGAGTCCAATAATCCGATAGTTTGCCATTAGCAGTCTATATGTCAACCAATTGCAAAAACTTCCTTTCAGTAAAATGTCTAGTCTCTAAAAAGCATCCTATATGTCAACCAATAGGAATATGTCAATAAAAAAATATAGAAGCAGTTTACATATAATTTATATTTCAAACTCAATTAAACCTCACCAAAATGTGTATCTTCCCAAATTTTCAATAATGTCTCTATGGTACATGACAATGCTTGCTTCCATTTACAAATACATAGTTTTTCACATAAAGAGCTACAAAATACTTATTACCTTTAAATCGTTTCTCAAAGCCTAACTTTTCGAAAACTAAATTGCATTTACATATACAGTTTATATTTATATAAAATAAATCGATTATTCACATTCTATACAAGATTTATTAATCTCTTTTTCGTTTAAAAATTCATTGAATATAGTCCTTTCTGGTAATGACAGCCGAGTCTCCTTGACCTAAAGTACAGCACAACTCACTTGTAAATCATTCCCCACAGGATACACTATATCATTATTTGTGTTCTTATGTTTATATTTATTTAATGTTTACAACTTTTTATATTAGCATACCATAAATACCAAGCCACGCACTTACTATATGTAGGTAGTTAATACATACATATGCATATACTTACATACATCAAATAAAACATATAACAAACAACAGAAGCAACAGAAAAATACTCATAATTTTTATGAATGTGTTTTGTTTCTCAACCTCAAACTGCTCACACAGATACTTTACACGCACACATGCAGAAATAGAAGCAGAAGCAGATGAAAATATAAATTTGTTGGAATTTTTCTTTATATTTTATTTGAGTTTTGATGTTTCGGTTCAACTGCTACAGAAAAATTGTTATTAATCAATTCTCTTGTTTTACTAATTTTGGCAATAAAAATGCTTTTAAGCACAAATTGATGAATGAATTGCCTATTGATTCATTAAAGTGTATTTACGTACTGTACTCTCTTTCAGTGAATAGAGGCCATTTTAGATAAATTAAAAGAATTGATTTTTGATACAATTTGGCTTCTGTGGACTTTCAATAATAAAGTAAAGTTCCAAATAATTTTTAAGCATTTATGTGTGTGAAAAGGTTTCTTTATGTACTCATATTTCATAACAATGTACCCTTAAAATTTCCTAAAATTACAAAATCTGTTAAAATTTTAAAGCCTTAAATTCTTCGTAAGCTGCTTTGCTTTGCTTCTGAGACTGAAATTGCTTCTATTTTTAGTTAAATTTGCAAATTCCG